AAAAATAAGTGTTTTTTCCATTAATCTATGCAGCTTTATTCCAAATAAATCTATAATTTTCTACTAGCTTCTTTTAAAAAATTGAGAATTGCTCCCTGACCATCTTTACTATTACTTTATCTTGCATTTACTCTCGATTTTCCCCCCCAACATTTTAATTGTGAGAACTTTTAAGTAACTTTGACATTATATATGTAATATTTACTTCTGATAGTGGTAAGGCATTTGAATATCCCATACCTGAACAAAGATAATGGAAATCATCAAGTATAAAAATGATTCTTGGAAAAAGATGCTTATAAAGGAATGAACAAAGGAGCATGTTTCACAAAATGAGTTGCCTTTTAAAGTTTGGATTCTGTGACAATTAGCATACAATTGAATGTTTCTCCTTAGGAACCTTGAAATTGTATTAACTCCTACCATGCATCTGTGTTGGATATAGTTGTAGCAAAAATACCAAACCCACTTCATTGCACAGCAGGAACAACCATAATTGAAATGTAATTTATAAATTTGCCTCCTAATGAGAGGTATCCCTGTTTCCAAACTCTCAGCAATAAGCATCTGTCAGTTTTGCAATCAGGAAATATGTGTGGATATACACACTCTATAAATGCTTTATTTTCCTTTTTCTGGTTTTTTAATGGGATAATTGCCACAAACATCTTTAAGTCTTGGAGAGAGACCCAGGTGAGAGGAGATTCTAGGAATCCAACCCAGAAATCTGTGTTGGTTTCTTTCCTAGAAAAGCATCTTAAAATACCACATTCAGGTTGGGCACAGTGGCCCACGCCTGTAGTCCCAGCATTTTGAGAGGCAAGACAGGAGGACTGCTTGAACCCAGGAGTTCAAGACCAGCCTGGGCAACATAGTGAAAACTTGTGTCTACAAAAAATAAAAAAATTAACTGGGCATGGCATGTGCCTATAGTCCTAGCGACTTGGGAGGCTGAGGCAAAGGATCGCTTGAGCGCAGGTGGGCAAGGGTGTGTGATGAGCTGTGAATGGTACCAACTGCGCTCTAGCCTGGATGACAGTGAGACTCTGACTCAACAAAAACAAACAAAAAAACACCATATTCACATGCAATCTTACAACTTGGATTGGCTTGTGTAAAGACAGGAAAGATAATGCAAAGGAAACAGACTAAACACCAACTGGCCTCAGAAGACGTGGGTGGAATCTATTGACTTTGTTGTTGTTATTGTAATAAAATAACCTTTTTTCTGAAATTATTTCTAGTAGGCCCCGGATTTTTAGTCAGGTCATTTTATTCAAGATTTAAATAAGGGAAAATGTATTCAAATATGTTTGTAGGTAGGAAAAGAAGCCTGTTATGGCAATGCTTGAATCCCTGAGTATTGAGACTGATGTTATAGACAGTACCTGCACAGCTTTCAAGTGTACATTGTCCTTGATTTTGCCTTGTAACTCATCAACAGCCACTGCAAAAATGGTATTTTTTTGTTTGTTTTTTGCTTTTGTTTTGTTTTGTTTTGTTTGAGTAGGAGCCTCACTCTGTCATCCATGGTGTAGTGCAGTGGCACTCTCATGGCCACCGCAGCCTTTACCTGCTGGGCTCAGGCCAAGTAGCTGGAACTATAGGCGCTTGCCACCACGCCCAGCTAATTTTTTTATTTGTTGTAGAGACAAGGTCTCACCAAGTTGCTGTCAGGCAACAAGTCTAGACTTCCGATTTAAGACAAAAAAGGCCTCAGAGTCATTAGAGGGGGTGTGAAAGAGTGAAAATGGTTTTATCAGGAAGGTTTCCTGGAAATAATATCTTGTGACTGTTAACAGGAGGTAGCTAGAGATAGATATAGATATAGGCACAAGCGTGCTTCAGACAGGAATGTTAGAAGCATGAAGCCCACAGGCATGAATGGCCAGGTGGTAGGGGACATATTGGAGTGTCACAGAGGTGAGGATAGTAAGGAACATCACCAGCTGACTGAGGAGGTCAGCTCCCTTGACTGTTATCTGTCCCTTATCCTACTCATCATCATTAACTTGGAGCAGTGAGTTTCTTTTCGATTGCTTTCTCACTTTTCTCATGGTTCAAGCTGGGAATTTTATTGAAAACACCTGTTTTAAAAGGATTTTTCTATTTGGTGTAAAAGTCAGAGTGGATGTGGCTACATGGTTGCTTTGTAAGCCCTTGTGGGAGTCAGTGTGATGTAATAGAGGCCAGAAACAGGAGTCAGGATCCAAGTTCAGAGGCCATGCTCTTATTTATGAGCTCCATGACCGTAGGCAGGTAGCTTTACTCAGGTCTGTTTCCTCGCCTCTAAAATGCTAGACCAATTGCAAAGAATGTCTCTATGGCTTAAATAAATAAATAATTAATTTAATTAAATGTTAGTCCCGAATCAGATGTTTTATGCTTTGCTTTTTTTCTTTTCTTTTGAGTCAGAGTCTCACTGTGTTACCCAGGCTGGAGTGCAGTGGCACACTCACAGCCACCGCAGCCTCGACCTGCTGGGCTCAGGTGATCCTTCCACCTCAGCCTTTCAAGTAGCTGGAACCACAGACACGTACCACCATGCCCGGCTAATTTTTTGATTTATTGTAGAGATGAGGTTGCCAAGTTGCCCAGGCTGGTCTCAGATCCGTGGACTCAGGCAGTCCTCTCATCTTGGCCTCCCAAAGTGCTTGGGATTATAGGCATGAGCCACCACGCCCAGCCTACTATTTTTCTTTTTAATGAGGCTGTTTTCAAATGAAACTGATGCTAAACCCCATAATATAAAACAACTGATCTGTGAATGGGGGCTGGGAGCTAGAAGCCCTGCCTACCCAGCCCTTCCCTCCCAGGGTTTTTCCTGGAGTCTTAAGGCTCCGGAGCACACAGCTGGAAAACCCTTGGACTAGATCCTTTAGGTCTCTTAGAATTGAACGTTTTCTGATTCTTATGTTGATAAACTTAGTAGAATTTCTCAACAATCTGTGGAGGCAGTGCAGTACTAAATGAAGCACCCCTCCATGTAAGATATTACTTGGTACGATAAGTGCAAGTCTTCCCTCTGGCAGCACTCTTCGAGTGTGAGAGGGAAGCAAGGGAGCTTTGGAAGCTCTTTATGGTACAGCTCATACTGTGTAGAGATTTAGGGCAACACGATGTTCTCCCTAAAAATTATTGCAGAGAGGCCGGGCTCGGTGGCTCAGCTTATAATCCCAGTGCTTTGGGAGGCCGAGGCAAGAGGATTGCCTGAGTCCAGGGGTTTGAGACCAACCTAGACAACTTGGTGAGACCTTGTCTCTACAATAAATCAAAAAATTAGCTGGGGATGGTGGTATGTGCCTGCAGTTCCAGCTACTTGGAAGACTCAGGTGGAAGGATTGTCTGAGCCCAGCAGGTTGAAGCTGCTATGGCCTTGAGCGTGCCACTGCACTTCAACCTGGGTGACAGCGTGAGACTCCAACTCAAAAAAAAAAAAGAGAGAAAAAGGAAAGTGTGTGTGTGGGTGTGTGTGGACTCAAAAAAAAAAAGGAAAGTGTGTGTGTGTGTGTGTGTGTTTTACTTTGGAAAATTTCTATTTCATTTACTTTTTGGATGGGAGATAGGTTTGCACTTGTACTCAAATTCAAAAGCAACAAATGATATGAACTGATAAGCCTCTCCCCTCCCACCCTCAGGCACATCTTCCCAGCCACTGCCCTGGAGGCAGGCAGCATTCCCAGCCTGAGTAGCTTCCAGAGACAGGCTGTATTGATGGAGGCACTTGCAGGCTGACCTGTGCACTAGTTGCTGGTGGCTGCTGTAACATGTCTTACAAACTGGGTGGCTTAAAACAATGGAAATATATTCTCTCACAGTTCTGGAGGCCAGGGGTTTGTAGTCAGCATCACTGGGTTTAAATCAAGGTACTGGCAGGGCCCCCCTCTTTTTGAAGGCTCTAGGGCACAGTCCCTTCCTTGCCTGTCCCAGCTTATGGTTCTGCCAACATTCCTTAGTTTGTGGCTACATCATTCCTTTTTTTTAAAGATCAATGTCTTCAAATCTCTGTCTTCATATGGTCTTATGGTGGGTGTGAAGCCTTCCTCTGTCTCACTCTCTTATGAGGATACATGTGGTCACATTTAGGGCTCACCTGGGTAGTTCAGAGCACTCTCACCATCTCAAGAGCCTTAACTTATTCACTTCTGCAAAGACTGCCTTATTAAGTAAAAATCACAGATTCCAGGGATTAGGATGTAAATATCTTTTTTGGGAGAAGAAGGGTGTGTTTTTCAGCCTATTATAGCCATAAACAAATAGCATACTGTACACAGTTTTCAGGACCTTGAGGGTAACCTGAGAATCCATTAACTGGGGACCATGAACCATGGTGTGTCCATAGAATGGACTAAGGTTTAACCTAAGAAGAATGAAGCTTGCATAATGACACGGAGCCTTATTTACTATGAAGTAGAGAAAAGCAAGTTGCAGAGTGCATATGAGTAAGGTGAAAATTTGGAAAGAGATGTCACATTTTGAAGTGGCTTCCCCTGGAGTGACTGGGTGTGGTGGCTCATGCCTGTAATCCCAGTACTTTGGAAGGCTGAGGTGGGAGGATTGCTTGAACCCAGGAGTTCAAGACCAGCCTGGGCAGCATAGCAAGACCTTGTCTCTACAAAAATAAAAATGAGGTGGACATGGCGTGCCTCTAGTCCCAGCTACTCCAGAGGCTGAGGCAGAAAGATTGCCTGAGCCCAAGAGACGGAGGTTGTGGTGAGCTGTGATCGTGCCACTGCACTCTAGCCTGGGTAACAAAGGAAGACTCCAACTGAAAAAAAAACAAAAAAAACAACCTTCCCCTGGGACATGGGGCTGGACTTTACTTTTTCTGTTATACTTTTGTACTGTTGGAAGCTTTAAAATAATGCATGTACTTTATAATCCATGTGTTTCTAATAAATCTAGAAGAAAGTGGACTCACACTTAATTTTTCTAGATGAGTTGTGCTGCAAAGGTCATCGAAGATTGTTAAAATTCCACCTTTCTGCTTTGTTCTCCAGATAGCTGATCCTACCTTAGCTGAGATGGGAAAGAATCTGAAGGAGGCCATGAAGATGCTGGAGGACGGTCAGAGGTGAGCATGTGGACAGAGGCAACCCTGCTCAGCGAGTTCAGCCTGTTGGAAACTGGTGGCTCTGGTTTCCTTCTGACAGCTCTTGACCTCAGAATGTCACACATAACTTCAGCTGAGTTTACAATTAGTATTTGTCTTGGATAGACGATGCCTTGTAATTAAAGGTTTTGAAATTGAGGAAGGACTTATAATTTTCAATTCTGTTGCGTTTCATTTACTTGATATATTGATTTGAACTTATAAATACTTATTATATATTCAGGTCATATTATTAGGCATCAATTAACCAAGACATGAGTTGAATTTTTTTTTTCAGGTTCTTTTCTATTCCAGAAACTCAAACTGAACCTAAAACTGTAGAGACGGGGAGATGTGACAAATGTGTTTCAAATTCTGCACAGTCACTGAGAGGGTACAGGCAACAAGGTCATTTGTTTTGCATGTTAAATGTTAGAAATTTGAGATGATAAAACAAATGGGCAGAGTTTTTTTTTTCTTTAAATTAGAAGAACAGAAGAAGAAAATGGAAAGAAGCTCGTATCAGGGGACATTCCAGGGCCACTCCAGGGCAGGTAGGTGGCAGTGAGGATCAATACCTTTTGTTAGAGTATACATTTTTCTTAAAGCAAGATTTATTTATTTATTTATTTATTTTGAGTTGGAGTCTCACTCTGTCGCCCAGATTGGAGTGCAGTGGCCGCTCCAATGGCCTCGACCTGCTGGGCTCCGGCGATCCTTCCACCTCAGCCTTCCAAGTAGCCGGAATTACAGGCATGCGCTACCATGCCCAGCTGATTTTTTAATTTATTGTAGAGATGAGGTCTTGCTGCCCAGGCGGGTCTCGGACCCGCAGGCTCAGGCAATCCACTCACCTCAGCCTCCCAAAGGCGTGAGATTACAGGCTGAGCCACCGAGCCCGGCTTATTTATTTTTTTTGAGTTGGAGTCTCACTCTGTTGCCCAGACTGGAGTGCAGTGGCCGCTCCCGGCCACTGCAGCCTCGACCTGCTGAACTCCGGTAATCCTTCTGCCTCAGCCTTCCAAGTAGCTGGAACTACAGGCACACACTACTACGCCCGGCTGATTTATTTATTTATTTATTATAGAGATGAGGTCTCACCAAGTTGCCCAGGCAGGTATCGAACCCACAGGCTCAGGCAATCCACTCACCTCAACCTCCCAAAGCATGGGATTACAGGCTGAGCCACCGAGCCTGGATTAAACCAAGATTTTACTGTCATTGATGTACTATTTTAGTTTTTTGGGGTTTTTTTTGTTTTTTTTTTTGAGTTGGAGTCTCAGTCTGTCGCCTGGGCTGGAGTGCAGTTGTACACTCATGGCTACCCCAGCGTCAACCTGCTGGTGATCCTTCCACCTCCGCCTTCCAAGTAGTCGGAACTACAGGCATGCGCTACCACGCCTGGCTGATTTTTGATTTATTGTAGAGATGAGGTCTCGCCAAGTTCCTCCAGCTGGTCTCAAACCCGCGGGCTCAGGCAGTCTGCTCGCCTCAGACTCCCAAAGTGCTGGGATTACAGCTGAGCTGCTGAGCCTGGCCACAATTTTAGTGTTAAGGAGCACAAAGCAAATGTCAGTAGTACAGTATAACATTAGAAGATGGAAATGCCATTGGCTGGTTGGTGATAATACTGAGCCTACTGACCTCTTTCCCTTTCCCATTCAGAATTGAATACAAACCTCAGGGCTCAAAGTGATAATATGGACCAGGCGTGATAGTGCATACCTGTAGTCCTAGCTACACAGAAGGCTGAGGCAGGAGAATCACTTGAGGCTAGTAGTTTGAGTCCAACCTGGGCAACGTAGTGATAAACTGTCTCTAAAAAAGGAAGTGGTACACAAATTTATAATTATAACTGAAGTTTTATACTTAGTTGATTCTTGAAACCTGTGATCTATTTGGTAGACTGAGTTTTATTGTTTAGAGACATTTTAATTTGATAAATTTGTCATTATAATATAGGAAATGAAAGGAAAATGTCAACTTTAATCATTTATTGGCAGAGTGATTTATTTTTTGGCAGCTGAAACAAATATGTCAAGTCTTTGTGGTTTGAACTAACAGGGAAAAAACAGAAAAAAAAAAAGTAGCTGGCTAAAATTTTTATAAGGCAGTTAATCTGGGATTAATGTCCCAGCCCAGCTTCTTTGAGACAAACTATATTTTCCTTTTATAACCAGGAAATTGCACATAGGTAAATAGTGCAACTCCCTTAAATTGACCTTTGACCCAAATATAAATTGAACGAGGTTGCAAAAGAAAAGTATGAAGAAGCACAGTGTGCCAATATATATTGCATCTAACACACCCAGATACTAATATCTTAAGCTAGTCACTCCTTTTTTTTTTTTTTTTTTTTTGAGACAGGGTCTCACTCTGTCACCCAGGCTGGAGTGCAGTGGCACGATCCCAGCTCAATGCAGCCTTGACCTCCTGGGCTCAAGCAATATTTCTGCCTCAGCCTCTCCCAAGTAACTAGAACTACAGACATGCCACCACTACTGGTTAATTTTTGTTTTGTTTTTTTTTAGTGGCGAGGTCTCACTATGTTGCCCAGGTTGGTCTCGAACTCCTGTGCTCAAGCGACTCTCCCTCCTCGGCATCTCAAAGTGCTAGGATTATAGGTATGAGCCACCACACCCAGCCAAAATAGTTACTTCTATTTGTGGTATGAATGGTGCTGATTTAAAGCTAGGTGTGAAGTGCTTTCTACAGCTCAGGAAAGTACTCGTGTAAGTCTTCTCATCGAAGTCTATAGAGGGAACAAAAGGGTTTAGGCTGTGTTTAGACTTCTGATTCCACAGACATTTCACAAGAAGAGATACTCCTGGCCAGGCTTGGTGGCTCAAGCTTGTAATCCCAGCACTTTGGGAGACGAGGTGAGGGGATTGCCTGAGCCCACGGGTTCGAGTACAGCCTGAGCAATCTGATGAGACCTCATCTCTACAATAAATTTTTTAAAAATAGCTTGGTGTGGTAGCGCGTGCCTGTAATTCCGGCTATTTGGAAGGCTGAGGCGGAAGGATCGCCTAAGCCCGGCAGGTCAACACTGGGGTGGCCGTTAGCATGCCACTGTACTCCAGCCTGGGCGATGGAGTAAGACTCCAACTCAAAAAAAAAAAAAAAAAAAGAGATACTCCCAATAATAGCTGTAATTCTCAGAATGGCAGTGTATTGAAGCCACTGATCAGCGTTCATACTTAGGAATGCTGATATCTGGGCTGGACACAGTGACTCATGCCTGTGGTCCCAGCACTTTGGGAGGCTGAGGCAAGAGGGTTGCTTGAGACCAGTAGTTCAAGACTAGCCTGGGCAACATACTGAGACCTCATCTCTAAAAATAAAAAAATAATGCTAATATCCAACATTTGAGACTAGTAATGTGGCAGGCACAGTGCCAAATGCTTTACATGCACTGTCTGATTGCAGCCTCACAACTCTATAACGTTGAGGCTTAGTGAGTTTGAATAGCTTGCTCAAGGTCATATGGTAAGCTCCTGAGTGTGGCTTTTAAGGGTCCTTACCTGTCCAAAATCTCAACTGTGTCCAGGGAGCAGAGCCCTTCTCACTTGAAGGTCAGCACCTTGGAGAGGATGAGTTTGGGGGCATTGTTTTGAGTGTTTCTTTTTTTGAAAAAGGAAGCTTTCTATTAGTAACATTCTCATTAATGAAGGGGTAATATTTTTATGTTACACATGTTACAGGTTGCCTTGCCATAGCTTACAACTTCAGCCATTCGAGTTTTTTTTGCAAGTCTCCCCCTCTACTGTAATGGACATTTAGTAATATCTCTTGCATAGAAGTAAATCTAGTTACACTCTAAGCAGATCTCAAGTTTCCCAGCTTGGGGAAGAGCTGTAGTAAATGATGCTTGCATTACCTGTTGAAGGCTGTTCATCCAAACAGACAAGACTATTATGTGGAGGAAGACTAGATACATCTGAGGCATTCTTATGACCTTCTAGCATCTTATGAGGACCTCAGATTCTTACTACATGGCCTCTCCTCCAAGATTCAAATGAAATATATAGAAATGTTGCTAGAGTAAAATGGTGACATTTTTGAAAATCAAACTCATATTTAAAACATTGATTTAGTCACAAGCAAAGTTATATTCAAATTCAGTTTATAATTTGAGATTTGTTATTTAAAAAGTATAGGCCAGGCTGGGCTTGGTGGCTCATATCTGTAATCCCAGCACTTTGGGAGGGCTAGGTGGGAGGATTACTTGAACCCAAGAGTTCAAGACCAGCCTGGGCAACATAACAAGAACTCACCTTGTCTCTACAATCAAAAAATTAGCAGGGCAAGTTGGCACACACCTGTAGTCCCAGCTACTCAGGAGGCTGAGGCAGAAGGATTGATTACCTGCGCCCAGGAGGCCAAGGATGTAGTGAGCCATGATTGTGCCACTGTACCCCAACTGAGTGAGACCCCAACTCAAAAGATATATATACACTGTATATCGATTATTTCTCTTATAGCTACACAATTAAAAAAGAACTCGTTTCAGTCATTTATTCATTTATTAAAGGATTCATTTAAACAGGCATAGTTTATTACATACTAGATCTAAAGTATACAGATAAACGTCCCCCTCATCCTAGTTTACAGGCTAAATCCGGCTCACACATGGAAGCAATCTAAGCATCATGGCACTCCAGAAATTGCTGGGGAAGTTGTCAGGAAGGGGAAAGGCTGTGACCTGTGTTTCAAACCCAGAAAAAAAAAAGCCAACCTTTTACCAAAGTTGGTTGGATGAGGGAAATGGTGGGAAAGAGGTGGGGGAGTGTGTGCTCTTTCCACTGGTCCATCAGCTGGTTTGTTCTGCAGTGGACAGGACATGGTGAGCATCCTCCAGCTGGTGCAGAACCTGATGCATGGAGATGAAGATGAGGAGTCCCCGAGCACCCGGTAAGGAAGAGCTGAAAGTCTGCGTGATTTCAGTAGTGATTTCAGTAGTGAGCACTCAGATCCAGAAGCGTATTGCATTAAGCGTTACATATGAGGGGAACCCAAAAAAACCCAGAATTATCTTTTGGAGGGCAGGCCCTTTGGATTACAGGCTCCCCCTGCTAGTTGAGTGTTCTAGGAACCCATCAGCATCAGTGTACCAGCTAGCATTTGTGAGAGGCTGCATTCGGCTTCAGTGAATTTTTTTTGGAGATTCTTTCAGTGAGTTTGCCCATTTCATGATGGGTGATTTACGAGTGCACCTGCCCACACCTCACTGAGTGTTCAGCAGTTTTTGATCAAAAATGGCATGATGCCCATTCACTTGATCTCGTCCTGAGTGACTTTTTTTTGTTTCCCCAATGAGAAAAGTCCTCAAAGGGATATGTGCTGATGTGGAAGAGGTGAAACAAAAACCAATAGAAACACTAAAATGCATCAAAATTGATAAGTTCACAAACTGTTTTGAGCAGTAGAAAATGCATCTCCATAGGTATAGTGTGTCAAACAGAGAGTACTTTGAAGGTGATAAAGTTTAAGCATGTAAGAATAAATCAGACATATTTTTTACAAATAAATTCCAGGTTTTTTTGTTTCCCCCTCATATGATATTAAGATAATGTTTATTTTTTCTTCTTGGAAAGACATTAGATATATAATATATTTTGTAGAATGAAGGTATTTACTAAAGCTCAATCCTTTCATTTTTAGTGTGTGGTGTCTTAGGGAGGACCTAGCAAAAGCATGAAAGATAAATGCTGTATTCTTTTCTGCTAGAATTGCTACAGCTGAATTGACTGGCAATTTATTTAGCTTTGTTTTCTCTTTTTTTTAATTTAAGTTTTTGGAATAAGCAATGCATTTTTCTGGTTCAAAATTTGAAAGATAAAGAAAGGTATACGGAGGCAATTTTTTCTTCCTACCTCTGCTTCCCTACCTGGCTCTCTTCTCTAGAGACAGTGTCACCCACTTCTTTTGTTTCTCTCCCGAAGTGTTCTGTGTGTCTGTACTCTACACAAGCAAAATGCCCATACCCTCCCCTCCAGTATGTATTCTGACCTGGAGTTTTTCTTCTTATGTCTTGGAGTTCATTGATATACAGTGTGTATCAGAGAATTCCAAGGTGGGAGCTTTCTCCTTTTTCAGAGCTGTTTATTTTACTTGGAATAGATGGAACATATTTTATTTAACTCATCTCCTGTTCATAATTTTCTGTTACAAACATCGCTGCAGCCAGTTGCTTTTGACATGTGTCATCACTTGTAGAACCAAGTGTGTCTGGAGGACCGAGTCCTCAGAGGAGGATGCTGGCTCAGTCAGTGTGCGCGTTTGTAATCTGGACAAACATTGCCAAATTTCCCTCCATGGAGTTGCGCCAGTTAACAGCCCCACCAGCAGGGTATGAAAATGCTTCTTGCCGGGCATGGTGGCTCACGCCTATAATCCCAGCACTTTGGGAGGCCAAGGCGATAGGATTGTCTGAATCCAGGGGTTCGAGACTAGGCTGGGCAACTTGGCAAGATCTCGTTTCTACAATAAATCAAGAAAAAGCAACCAGGCATGGTGGTACGTGCCTGTAGTTCCAGCTACTTGGAAGGCTGAGGCAGAAGGATCCACTGCACTCCAGCCTGGGCAACAGAGTGAGGCTCTGACTCAAAAAAAAAAAAAAGTGCTTCTATCCCACACCTTTGCCTGCAAGGGTGTTACCATACTGAAGGATCTTCAATAAGCGATATTCTGATGTGAGAAATCAGATAAGTCAGGATGATATTTCAGCATCTTTTAAGTTTGCATTTTTCCCATTAGGAGCCACGGTAAGTATCTTTTTGTATGCTTTAAGGCCTACTTATATTTCCCTTTATGACTGTCCTTTGCCCAGTATTCTATTTGTTGTCTTTTTCTTATTGTTATAGTTAACAATTGTAAATTTAATTCTTGTTATTTACAGTTATTCTTTTCTTTTGTTTTTTGAGTTGGAGTCTCACTCTGTCACCCAGAATGGAGTGCAGTGGCACTCTCATGGCCACTGCAGCCTCGACTCAGTGGGCTCACGTGATCTTTCTGCCTTAGCCTTCCAAGTAGCTGGAACTATAGGTGTGCACTACCACACCTGGCTAATTTTTTGATTTATTGTAGGGAGACCAGGTCTCGCCAAGTTGCTGGGGCTGGCCTCAAACCCGTGGGCTCAGGCAGTCCTCTCACTTAGGCTTCCCAAAGTGCTGGGATTATAGGCATGATACAGTTATTCTTTATAAGGGAAATTAGTATATCCATTTTAATTTTATATGAAACAATACCTAGTCCCCCTTGAATTTGCTATGTTATTATAATACACAGCTGTTTAATGCAGGAAATTATTTATCTTTAATAATTCTTTAAAAAATGGATCAGGCACAGTGGTTCACACCTATCATCTCAGCATTTTGGGAGGCAGAGGCAGGAGGAGCTCTTGAGCCCAGGAGTTCAAGACCAGCCTGGGCAACATAACAAGACCTCAACTCTACAAAAAATGAGTTGGGTGTGGAGGCACATACCTACACTTGGGAGGCTGAGATAGGAAAATAGCTTGAACCCATGACTTGCAGACTGCGTTAAGCTGTGATTATGCCACAGCACTCTAGTCTGAGTGACAAAGTGAGACACCGACTCAAAAAAAAAAAAAAAAAAGGTTGGGTGTGATGGCACATGCGTGTAATCCCAGCATATTGGGAGGCTGGAGCTGGAAGATTGCTTGGGCCCAGGAGTTCAAGACCAACCTCAGCAACATAGCAATACCTTGTCTCTTATATGAAATAAATAAGTAAATAAATAAATAAAATTTTAAAGAAATATTTTCGCTCATTTTATCTTAACTCTATCCTCCAAAATTCTTTGTTGTTTTTTTTTTGGAGTTGGAGTTTCACTCTGTCACCCAGACTGGAGTGCAGTGGCCGCTCCTGGCTACCACAGCCTCGACCTGCTGGGCTCCGGTGATCCTTCCGCCTCAGCCTTCCAAATAGCTGGAACTGCAGGCGCACGCTACCGCACCCGGCTAATTTTTGATTTATTGTAGAGATGAAGTCTCGCCAAGTTGCCCAGGCGGGTCTCGAACCCGTGGGCTCAGGCAGTCCACTCACCTCGGCCTCCCAAAGTGCTGGGATTACAGGCTGAGCCACCGAGCCCGGCCTCCTCCAAAATTCTTAAGGCTGGGATATAATCTTCAAAATACTTAACAGACAATTATTCAAAAACATTTTGTAGATACTCAATAAAAAGGATATTTATCTTCTAAGACTCAAATTTTTAAAATATTTTTCTCCCCAAACTACCAATACTTTCTATGCATTGAATTGTCTAAATTCATCTGAATTTCTGCCTTGTGGGCCATTAAATGGATTTCAAGTCTGTCAGAAATTCCTGTGGACTACTGTGTCTCTAAGTTCTATGTCCTTTTTTATGCTTTAACTCTAATATTTTCTTTAATGAATTTTGCTTGACAGGATTCAGAATATTGGAGAACAAGGTCACATGGCTTTGTTGGGACATAGTCTGGGAGCTTATATTTCAACTCTGGACAAAGAGAAGCTGAGGAAACTGACAACTAGGATACTTTCAGACACTACCTTATGGCTATGCAGAATTTTCAGGTAAAGACTTGAGTTTTTAGTTTCCAATAAAGACATTTATGAGTCAGGTGTAGACAGTGAGAGAGCTTTTTTTGGCGCTGTCCCACTGAGGTTCAAATTTATCTCCTCTTGGAAGCATTGCCTAACCTCAGTACCTCAGGCTTTTTATATCTGGCAGGCTCCTATTCCTCACTTGTTTTCATGGTCTTTGCTCTTGATGGAATTGGGTATGCATGAAAAGTCATTGCCTCACTCCTTTGTAACTTCCAGCTGTAATGAGTTGTTAGCCATCTGTGATGAGGATGTTTCACATTCCTGTCCTCTCTGCCTGATCTAGGTGACAGTTTCTAGGTTGAGAAAAAAATTGCTTCCAAGATTATAAGACTGACATATAAAGTCAGAATTAACCAGAAGTAAGAACTTTTTAATGTATGGATGTCTCTTAACAGGTATGAAAATGGCTGTGCTTATTTCCACGAAGAGGAAAGAGAAGGACTCACAAAGATCTGTAGACTTGCCATTCATTCTCGATATGAAGACTTTGTAGTGGATGGATTCAATGTGTTGTATAACAAAAAACCTGTTATATATCTTAGTGCTGCTGCTAGACCTGGTTTGGGCCAATACCTTTGTAATCAGGTAATGTGGTATAAGGCAGATATTGTAAAGAAACAATGGTTTGGGTTTTTTTTTATCCTGAGGCTTTTAAAACTTGTAGAACCATTTCTTTAGATGCTATTGGGTTTTTTTTTTTTTTTTTTTTGCTCTTCAAGTCAGGACTTTACCCTGTTGCCCAGGCTGGAGTGCAGTGGTACCATTACAGATTACCTCAGCCTCCTGAGTAGCTGGGACTGTAGGTACACACAACCATACCTGGCTAATGTTTGGATTTTTTTTGTAAAGATAAGGGGTCTTGCTATGTTGCCTAGGCTGGTCTCAAATTCTTGGCCTCAAGCAATTCTCCCACCATGCTGGGATTATAGGCATGAGCCACTGTACCTGACTGCTATTATTTTTGAGCGAAAAGAAGGGTGGTCTTACATGCTTCTTTTGTCATTATATTTAACAAATTAATGAGTTTAGAAATAAAGAATATGTCATAGATAAACTTTTTTAATTCCTCAAAGGCAACCATAGTCACTATTTTACTTTCTAGACTTTAATCAAAGTAGGTATGTGGTTATTTATATGGGTTTTATCTGACTTTTTTACTTACTGTTATAATAGGAGTATATGATATTTTAGCAATTCCTCAAAGTAAAGTTTATTTTTCATGACTTTATAATATTTCTTCAAGTGAGTAGTAATTTAATGAACTGTTTCTGTTTTGGACAATTAGAGTGTATCCATTCTTTTGGTTTCTGTGACCATTTTCAGGTAATGCTTTTTGTGTAGTGCTGGATTTTTGTTGTTGTTGTTGTTGTTGCTGAGTTGGAGTCTTATTGTCCTCCAGGCTGCAGTGCAGTGGGCTCAGGTGATCCTTCCGCCTCAGCCTTCTAAGTAGCTGCAACCACAGGCACGTGCCACCATACCTGGTTAATTTTTTTGACTTATTGTAGAGACAAGGTCTTGCCAAATTGCCTGGGCTGATCTCAGACCCCTGGACTCAGGCAATCCTCTCGCCTCAGCCGCCCAAAGTGCTGGGATTACAGGTGTGAGCCACGGCACCCGGCAAGCATTGCCATTTTTAAAGTTCATGGTGCCTATAGCTCAATTAGGGAACTACCCTGAGACAAGAAATTGCTTTTACCCTCTTGGCCAAGAATGTTTTAAGGCAAAACCCATAGGATTGGAGGCTTCTTCTTTAGTAAGATATAGAAGTACTGGGGAGATGTGTGGGAAACACTCAGGGACTTTTAAATTGATTCTGAGCTGTGATCACTGGTGGCAAGAAATTAGGTCCTCTTCATGAGGGTGTAAAAATGAGGAGTTTAGCCGGTCTTGGTGGCTCAGCCTGTAATCCCTCGCCTTTGGGAGGCTGAAGTGAGTGGATTGCCTGAGCCCGCGTGTTCGAGACCCGCCTGGGCAGCGAGACCTCATCTCTACAATAAATCAAAAAATCAGCCGGGCGTGGTATAGTGTGCGCCTGTAATTCCGGCTACTGAGGTGGAAGGATCGCCGGAGTCCAGCAGGTCGAGGCTGTGGTGGCCGGGAGCGGCCACTGCACTCTAGTCTGGGCGACAGAGTGAGACTCCAACTCAAAAAAAACAAAAACAAACAAAAACAAAAATGAGGAGTTTTATCACATTCCTGGAGAAACATGATACAAATTACTTGTGGAGTACCTACTGCGAGTTAGTGAGAAAGGCAGTGGTAGAGCGCTAGTTGTAAGATGGCCATGTTCATGTTTTGTTTTGTTTAAGTCCGAGTCTCACTGTCACCCAGGCTGGAGTACAGTGACACGCTCACGACCATCGCAGCCTCAACCTGCAGGACTCAGGCGATACTTCCGCTTCAGCCTTCCAAGTAGCTGAAACTACGGGTGCACACCACCTGTAGTTTGATTTATTGTACAGACACGGTCTTATCATGTTCCCCAGGCTTGTCTCAAATCCCTGGACTCAGGCAATCCTCTTGCTTCCGCCTCCCAAAGTGCTGGGATTACAGGTGTGAGCCACCACACCCAGCCATGTTCATGTTTTTAAGTGTGTACATGCTTACACACGTGTTTTCATACCTATAAAATGTCTGGAAGGTTATACATATATTGTTAACAGTGGTGGATTGGTGACTTATAAGGAGGCATTTTCACTTTTAATGCCTGGTTTGTTTTTGGTTTTGGGGTTTTTTTTTGTTTTTGAATTGGAGTCTCATTCTGTTGCCCAGGCCAGAGTGTAGTGGCACAATCATGGCTCACCGCAGCCTCAACCTTCTGGGCTCAGGTAATCTTTCCGCCTCAACCTCCTTAGTAGCTAGGACAACAGGTATGCACCACCATGCCTGGCTAATTTTTTGATTTTTTTGTAGAGATGAGATCTCATTATGTTGCCTAGGCTGGTAGTAAACTCTGGCGCTGGGCTCAAGCAGTGCTCCTGCCTCTGTCTCCCAAAGTGCTGGGATTACAGGCATGAGTCACTACGCCTAGCCCTAATGCCTGTATTTTGATGATTTGTTTTACCTAGGCATCACGTTCATAATTTTTTTTAATCCTTTAAGGAGGAAAGTGTGTGAATAAAGCACTCATTAAATTTTTGGTCTTTAAATATTACCAAGTCTTAGTTACATAGAACAGTATGCTGCAATTATTTACAGTTCCTAAAACTATAATCTCCTCAATACTTTGGAAGCTAAAAATAGAAAATATAAAATTGATAATGACTGTCTTCATCCATAACACCCTGACTTCATTTCTCTTAAGAAATGTATATCTAGCTGGGCTTGGTGGCTCAGCCTGTAATCCCGTGCTTTGGGAGGCTGAGGTGAGTGGATTGCCTGAGCCCGTGGG